TTAAGTTCACACTACGAAGAGACAAGGGCGTTGTTCCACAACCATCAGGAACTGTGTGGGAGTACAAAGAGTGTCTTCTGATGATTCACTGCATCTTGTCAATTGGTGAAAAAAAACTATTAACACTTCCCTTTCTGAAAGCATTCTTAGTTTACAGCCTTTTTTCACACCTGCCTTAAACTTCTGCACAGTACTGTATGTGTGCAGGAACTTCTGAAATGTTCTTCCATTTGATGCTTAAAACATTTCCTTGTCTAGGAAATGATGTATTTCTCCTATTATTCAGACTGTGGGTATAAGAAAGTAACCTACAAAAGAATGAGTCAGTGGGTTTGTGGAAACTCTTTCTAAGGCATGGCCTAATAAATGTTACCTGTAAGTATCCCAATTCTTTTTCAGTTAGAGGTTAAAATTTCCATCCGTGGTTTGTTGTGAGCAAATAACTGTCCCGGAAAAAAAGCCACAGTCATTTCCTTTGCACACTGCACCTTGTCTGCGCTCGCACACCGTGCTTGAAAGGGTTTTATTCTCTTCAGTTCAGTGTTTTAACAGTTAAACTATATCCATCCAAACATACACACACACACACACACACACACACAGAACCACCTTTTCCTCCTAAAGAATAAAACCAAAATTGAAGCTACTGTATAGAATAATATTGCAGTTATCTTTGCATTTTGACTCTTTTGCTTTAGTTTAACAAATTATGACTTCAAAACAAGTTGAGCACTTCCTCTGTCACTTTCTTGTAAGTCTACATATTCTTCGGTATTTCCAAAAATATTTATAACGCAGCCTATGTATATTAAATTATGTATTGCAAATAAAAACAGTTGATTCTCATATTATCTTCTAAATGATGTCCTGTCCCAGTTTACCATTGTCTCCTAATGTAATCTGTGGGCAAAAGGTCTCATAAATGTTAATATGTTTGTTGCGGAAGAATTTCTGTCAAGACAATGATTGAAAGGTAATAACTGTATTTGGAAGTAGCAGGAGGAAAAATCTTATTGTGGTAAAGAATCTGTTCTTCAGACCCTAAAAGGTCAGTATTGTTCCTCATTCAGAGTTTAATAAGCTTTTCCTCCAATGCATAAACACCAGTAGTAGCACAAACATCTTCGCCCTCTTTCTCCTAATCTGTGAAATATGCCACTTGTTTTAAAGTAATAGTTATAAAGTGTAAATTAGTGAGATTCCTTTTTTTGTAACTTAAATTTGTATTGAGTTTTCACATGCATATAGACAAAACAATACAGCAAATAAGGTACAAATTAAAATAACAATAGTAATAACACTAACAAACTGTCTGGAGATGATCCACTATTCAGTCCACTGTTCCATTTGGCATTTGTTCAGTAAATTAGTGAGATTCAAAGATGCTTTTAGGCTGTCCATACAGGAGTCAGGAGTGAAAAACACGTAATATATATATGTGTGTGTGTTAGGTCAAAACAATCTTATTCCTTGTGACCATGCAACATATTTGAAACAATACAAATGTTTATTATGTCAACCCCAGCAAAGCAGCAGGTCCAGATGGAGTTTCCCCTCGACTTGTGAAGGCCTGTGTGTTCAACCTGAGCTTGGAACAGGGGAGGGTCCCTAGACAGTGGAAGACATCCTGCATCATCCCAATCCCAAAGAGACCACATCCTGGTGAGCTAAATGA